ATAAAAATTTTAAAATATTATTTTTGATGTTAATATTTGGAGAGTTATAAAATTTTTTTATCAAAATTCAATAAGTAAATTATATATTAAAAAGATGGAGAGAGTGAGCAATTGGGGTAGGATGAGGTGGAGTAAGAAGAGAGGGTATGAAATGAATCTATCAGAAACCATGCAATCTGCCTCTCGCTCTGAGAGTCACACAGTCCTTTCATATCTGCCAAAAATAAAAAATGTTGCAGTAAACTATGACGTCATATTCTGATAACCATAAGGCATGCTTGGAAGCGTGTGAGAAGCGGATTTCGAATTCTTCTCTCTCCGTCTGTCTCTGCCGCCATAAGAAAAGTCCAAGTTATTAGGGAGAGTGAGGAAGCGTTTCGCAATGGCTTGCATCATCAGCAGCAAGCAAGTAACCAGAGAAAGAGAAAGAGAGAGAGCTGTCAATCCGTTTCTGAGAGCATCGTACAAATAGTCTGTGGAAGCGAGAGGTCAGAGCCCCATCATTGTCTCAATTATCGGCCAGCTCTGAGCTCTACCTCCATTGCTATTTGCAAATGCTCTGTTTTTCTTTTTAATTTTAATTTTTTAAAATTTTAATAGTATCACAGTCAGTACGTACTGTACAAGCAAACAATGCTTAATATTACTATAGCAGTTGCGTTGGCTACCCGTTGGTGACACCACCCCTCCCTCCCTTCCTCTCTCTCTCTCTCTCTATATGTATATATGTCACGTGTATTACAGAAGATGGAAAACGATCTTTCTTTCTTTCTTTTAACTTTGGTTTTCTATAAATTCAAGTGAATCTCACCTCTGTTTAGAGGATAATACCTTTTTTTTTTTCTTTTTTTTTTTTTTTTAACAGTCGCCCTCAGTTACCCGTACTGTCTATCAAAGCAAAACAATGCTTATCCCAATATATTATACATAGCAAAAGTTGACGTTGGGACTATCCCCGCTTGGGTTGACACCCACCCCTCCCTTCCCTTCCCCTCTCCCTCTCCCTCTCTCTAATAAATTGATTATATGTCACGTGCTATACAGAACGACTCGAAAACGCATCTTCTTTCTTTCTTCTTTAATTTGCCTTTTTCTATACAACTTCCCAAAAGTGCGAATCTCACCTCTGTTCTCTAGCCCGGGCAGCTAATACCCTTTTTTTTTTTCTTCTTTTTTTCTTTCTCTTTTATAACGTTCCGCAAATAAGAAAGACGAACTCTGGGAATTGCATCCTCCTACACCACAAGTAAAACGACACGCCAAGCAAAACACAAATCGCTCTACCTTCAAATTCCACAGGACAAAAACGTAAAACTTTTTTTTTTTTTTTTTTTTTTTTTTTTAAATTGAGAATAAGAAGAGAATTGGGAATTGCATCCTAATCACAAGTAAAACGAGCCAAGAAAAACAATCGCTTACCTTCAAATTCAAGACACGTAAACTGCATGCAAATCACTAAAATAAAATTTACAATGTGCAATACCAAACTTTGAAAAATTAACATGATAATATATTTTTTTATTGAACTTAATAGTGAAAATTTATTCGTAATTATAAACATAACTTAGTAAAAAATATATGTACAATTTAAATATAAATGTAGATTTGAGTCTTTTTTTTTTAGTACTAAAAATAATATGAAATTAACTTATTTAGATCCGTTCTATTCATTGACCAAATTAATAAAAATTAAATTTATTGAAAATAAAATATTTTTGACCATTTACTAGAAAATGAAAAAAAGAAAGAAACACTTGCCACAATCTTAAGAAATTTTTATTTTAATTGATTGATAGACCACAAGCCTCAGTCTAGATAAATCTGTCCCAAGAAGTGCATATCTAATTTTGATAAATAAATAATAATAATAATAATAATAATTTTAATATGAAAAAAAAAGGATTTTAAATGAATGGAAACTACATAAATTATAAAAATATTAAAATTTTAATCGATTAATTTTGTTAAGCCCATATTTGTAAGGGACTAATAAAATGGACCCATAAATATGGGTTAAATTGGCAGGCCCGATTGGGTGGCCTAATGAGATTCCGTAGTGTAACCATTCGTATGGCACGTGCCCATTTAACCGTCTTAACGATAACAAACAACATAGAAGGAAAAAACCTAACCCTGCGTGTGACGATGGAGGGCAGGTATTTAACAATTATTTAAACCCATAAAAAAAAAAAAAAAATCCAAAAGGATCGATCCTAAAGAAAGAAAGGTTCGTATGTTGCTAATGAAACACACCAATTTTAGGAAAAACGACAAAAGAATAAAAAAAAAGAAAAAAGAAAAATGGTAAAGCCAAGTTAAAACTACGTGTCTTTTAAAAAGTTTCACAAGTACACCATTTATAACTTTTTACCAGGAAGGAACAAAGGTATAAAAGAAAAGGCATAGGTGATGGAGTACACGGCTATATTTACCTTTTTCAAAAGCTGTTACTCTCTTGTTATAAAGAGAAGGAACACTGCTTCCACTTGTTCTTCTACAATTTACTTTTATTCATAGATTTTAGCCAATAATTTTTTTTAAAAGACTAATTTGACCCATTTTTGGTTCGTCAAAACGTGTCGTAAATACCTTTTTGGTTCTCGTTAAATTTGATTGTTTTTTACTTTTTTTTTAAGAATTAAAAAAATAATAATGTAATCACTTCAATTATAGAAAATATATAAGACAACGGTATAGTTGGAATAAAGTAATTAATACTACTTTCATTTCCTAAAAATATCATTTAAATTGACAAAGAAAACTCTAAAGCCTTCAAATTTGAGAGAACGGAGGAAATAGCACACCGAGGCATAATTTAATGATAAGTGCATATACGGACTCATAATGAATCCAGATTCAAATCCCTTCTCCCTCGATACTCAAGGAAAAAAAGAGAATATAGGGCGTGAATAATAGAAAAAAAAAGTCAATAACTTTACTTTCTTTCATTTTGAACATGTTAAAGTCCGTGCCAAAATATAAATAGTTTTCATTGACGTTTTCGTCCCAACATGTTTTTTGTTTTGAGTGTTTTGAGTATTTTGAGGAATGATAATTATTTTTTTTTTAATTTACTCTTATTTATATTAGATAAAATAATTATCTCTATAAGTTACTATTGATTTTGAGATTAAATGTATCCTTGATTTTGTTATAATTTATTAGAACTAATTGTTTTCTTAATTCATGTGAAAAAAACCTTAAACGATTTATATTTTGGGACAGAAATAATATTAAAAAGGATTAAAAGAATCCAGGACAAGCTAAGTATTATTATTCTTAAATAAAAATCTTTTCACTGCTTGAAAATTTAGAATTATTATCATTACAAGAATTTACTTGAATATCATTATTCTGGCCCTATCTTTTTATTGCTTTGTCAATCATGAAATTTACTAACAGGTACATAAGTTAGCTTTTATCTATGGATTAAATAGTTGACTTTTATGTACACGTGGGAATATATAATTTGATCCTTAAATTTTTATAAAAAAAAAAAAAGTTGTGACTTTTTGAATTTTTAAAATGACCATGTGGTTTCTTCAATTCAATCTTTTATTTTTTTAGCTCTCTAAACTTCAGATTTTTATACTAATGATTTCTTAAAAATGATTTACTGAAAATACGACGTAGTATGATGTCATTAAAAAAAGGATAATTCAGATGTAACGTGTCATACTTGTATTTCTCATTAAATTCGCAAACTCAAGAATTAAATTATATATTTTTCATTAAATAGGTCAAACATGTCAAGTCATGTCATACTTTTTCTTCTCCTTGTTTTCCAATTATTATAAATTAATTGCTAAAGCATCCAAACTTCAATTTTTTTTCTAATTTTCACTTATTAATCAATTATTGTAAAATTCACATCTGAAAATTATTAATCAAACTTGTATTTTTTTAAATCTATTTCTTGGGAATTATGCAACTATTGAAGGCTACAAGAGCATTTGAATTCTACTAGTCTAATCTTGTTAGTTTAGAATCTTTAACAATAATATTTGTGCAATGGCTTTCTGAATAATAAGTAGTCCTTTCAATTCTAAATTTGATTTAATCCAAGATTGATTTCATTTTTTTAACTAGGCCATTTGCACTATCAAGTAATCTGGTTGAATATGGTTATATAATATATATATAAATAATATATATATATCTATATATATATATATTATATATATGAAAACAATAGAATATATGAAAACAATGAGAGAAAAGGGAGGAATAAGCACATAAAAGTTTTAATATTTTTGAGATTTTTTTTCTGCTTTTCTCCTTTTTTTTGGAGATTTTTATTATTAAAATATTTATATCACATCAACATTAATTTTATTATTTCTTAAAAAAAGTTGAGAAAAACAGAAAGCTAGAAAATATTTATTTATTAGTTTGCACAAAAAAATGCCCAAGGCCTACTAAGTAACTAATTGTTTTTAATTTTTATTCTCAATTTTTTTTAAATTGAAAAAAAAAAAGCAAAATTATAGAATAGAAATAATTTTTTTTAAAAAATTATAGCATAGAAATAATTTTATTTAAAAAAATTATTTTCATTAATTTGAAAGAAGAGGGAGTCTAGAAAACTTAATAAAAAATGGAATAAGAGAGAAGAATGAATGATAATATTTTAGGCGATAGCTTTTAACAGTGATATTTCCACGTACAAGTTTCAAAAGGAAAGAAATGGCATTATAGGAACTTATTTGATTCAGCTTTTAATGGATATATATCCATTAACAGACTCTGCACAGTAAGCCGGAAGGTAGGTTCTGCAGAGAAGAATAGCGAAGACTGAAGATTAATGACTTCCCCAAAACTTTCAAACCTGTGGCTGTGACTGTTAACGCACGTGGCCAACTACAAATTTTGAAACGTAAACTCATTTAAGAATGTCCAGAACCAATATTAAGCTCGTGTCCAAATTCACAATTCAAGAAAGTAAAAATGTAAAGCTTTTATACATTATTGAAACTGAAAAAGAAAAGAACAAGAGTCTATTCATGAAATTATTTTGTACAGAAGCTAAGAAAGATATATTAGAAGTGGAAGTTAATCCTTCATACAAAATTGGAGCATTTACAAGAACCCAGAAGAGAAAAAGAAAGAAAGAAAGAAAGAAAATGAAAAGGGAAAATTTAGAATTAGTCCTGCCTGGTTAGGTGAACAAATAAAATCCCCAAAGTTAAAAAAGGAAAAAAAAAAAACTACCCTATGCAATTTACCCCTTATTACTAATTTTTTTTAATCATCGTTCTTATGATCATTTCCCAAGTTGGATAACATGGGAATTACAAGCTTTGTTGCAATCCTTGATTGTCCTCCATTGATCAGCTATATCTCGAGCAATTTTAACAGCGTCAGAAGCGGTTCCTTGTAGACCTCTCCTTGTGAACCCAACTGTGTACAATCCATTCTCTCCTTTCCATCCGTTAGGAAACGGCGTTTTGGGCATACCATCTTTTGTGAAAAAATCACACCCCTGCATTACAAAATTCGGTTTTAATTAAAACCCATTTCGATTTTCCTCTAGAAAATAACAAAAAGGACAATTTTGTAGGTGGGTTTTGGGCAAATTGCACAATGTATATATCATGAAAGCAACTTATCACAAATGAGAAAAATAAAAGAGTAAAAATAATTTAGGGTACGTTCCAAAAAATATAGTAACCCCAAACAGAACCCAGTTGATTTTATTCTTTTTTGCATGGGAGAAAAATAAGAGATTTCGCAGAGGTTCTGCTCTTTCTGTGGCATGTGTCCAAGCCAAGAAAATGATAGATGATTGATTTATATAACAAGACTAAAAATAAAAGGCAAAACAAGTCTGTTTCTGTTTCTATCTTTTATATTCTTCTTTCTAATTCTTAATACCTTGAGCCAACTTGGCACATTACTTCTGTATCCAGTTGCTAGAATTATAGAATCAAACTCCTTTTCTTGTCCATCCATGAATTTTACTCCACTTTTTGTTATCTCTTTCACACCTTCCATCACCTGAAAGAACAAGAAAAGAGGAAAAAAAAAAACCCATTAATACCTTAATCATAGTCTAATCAAATAACATAATTAGGTAATCTTTTATGAGTTACCTTAATCTTGCCGGATCTAATTTGAGATAATGCACCGACATCGAGGACCGGAGTCTTTCCGGTGACATTTTTAAGCTCAATTGGGCCGGTTTTTGGTCGCCGGAGACCTAATTGGTCAGTGTTGCCTAGAGTGAAACTAGCAACTAGTAATAAGAACTTGTCAACTAGTTTTAAAGGGAACCACTTTAAAAGTGCCATAGCAATTCCAAATGTTGACATGCCAAACATTTCTCTAGGTAGTACATGCACCTGCGTATATAGAGAAAAATTAGAAAATTGTTACCAAAATGAAAAATACCTACAAAACTATTAATATATAGAAATAAACTAACAAAGATTGGAATAGAGAAAACTTACTGTATTTCTAACAACCATATGAGGAAGTGCATTGTGTCTACAAAGGTCTAAACTAACTTCCATGCCAGAATTGCCACATCCAATAACCAAGATTTTTTGATTCTTGAAATCAGAACCAGACTTATAAACACTAGTATGTATAATAGGCCCGTTAAACTTTTCCATTCCAAGAATCTCTGGTATCACTGGCTCTGCATTTTCGCCGGTGGCGACAATAAGCCACCGGGAAACGTATTCGTAGTCTTGGGTATGAACTCTCCAAAGCCCGGAAATATTATCAAATTCTGCATTTAAAACGGCTTGTTTGAATTTTGGTTGGATTGAGAAATGTAAGGCATAAGATTCCAAGTAGGAAATGAATTGGTGTTTGGAAGGATATTTGGGGAAATTATCAGGAAAACCAAGAAGTGGAAGTTCACAGAAGTTTTTAGGAAGGTGAAGTTTTAAACGATCATATGTTTTTTGTTGCCAAAGAGAAGCAATACAGTCGCTTTTTTCAAGAATTAAAGAAGTGACTCCATGTTTAGAAAGGCAAGCTCCTACTGCTAAACCAGATGGTCCTGCACCTATTATAATAGGCCCGCTAACCCAAACTTGCTTCTTCTTCATCATCAAAATATTTTCTTGTCCTTGATTTTTACAAGAACCCATGTTGGAAATCCCAAGGAAAAGAGAAAGAAAGTGAAAGAATTAATAAAAATCAAGAAATCAAGGAACTTCTGTTTTCTTTTCTCTTTTCTTTCCTTTTAGCTCCTCTGTTTCTTGAATCTGTAATGCTCTGTTTTCTTTCCTTCTGAGAAAAATTTTGAAGTGGGAATTTAAAGATGGAAAAAGAACAGTGTTGTGATGGTGCGGAAGGAAAGAGAAAGAGTAAGAGTGAATGAGAAAAGAAGCGCGTCGACTGTGGGTTTTAAATGCGTAGTCATAGAAAACAGAGACTGTAAAAACAGAGGTTTTTATGAGAAGTGAAAGAGAGAGAGACGAAGAGGATATGGGAGTTTAGAAGGCGTGAAGGCAAAGGAAAGGATTTGGTTCTGCTTCTCAAGGCTCTTTCTTCTCAGGCTCTCTGCAGAGGGTTTTCCCTTTTGTTTTTTTTTTTCTTTTGTTGGTTTTGGGGGTGTAGAGTAGGCAAGGCAAGCAATGGCTGAACATCAGATATAAATACATTTATGTGAGGTTCGTTTAATTTTCTTTTTCATTTCCAAAATAAATAAATAATTTTTTTTTTGTGGCTTCCTACTTCTTTACTCTCAGGCTTAGCTCAAGTTTCTACTTTCTACCATTTACTTGATAGTACTTCTGCAATAGGTTGACCTTGAAAACTTGGCTTTAATTAGTCTAGAGTGCATTTATACTCTTTTATTCATTTATTTTTCTATTGTTTTCATTTATGTAAATATGATTCTTTGGATAATATAAAAAATTTTTAGAGTATTAAGGGATGCGTTTGAGATTCAAATTATATTTGTTGCTCTTGAATAGTTACACTGTTATTGTTAAAAAAAAAGTATTTTAAGATGAGATGGGAGACATGAAAAAGTAGTGGCCAAATATGTAAATTTACCTTGGTATTTTTCGAGAAAAATTCTGTTATATTTTGAAGTTATAAATTTTTGTAATACTGTGCATCTATAGATAATATAGCAAAAAATTTTAAAATTTTGGACTTTTATACGTGGATTATTAATTTCACAATTTTTTTGAAATAATAATTTTTATATTTTTTAATATTGAACGATTTTCTTTTTTAATCAAGAGATAGTACTTCTTGGATCTTAAAAGTAAAGGTTTTTTGCCTTTCTAATAAAGTGCGTTTCCCAAAAATTGAATATGTATTCTCAATCTTACGGATATTGAGCTCGCTTACCACCCAACCAACACCTTTTCGGTCATTTAATAATTATTTAATCAATCTAATTTTAAGTTAGAGTATTCCAAAAAAAAAAAATTTATAAATTTAAATATTTAATAGATGCTATCTTGGTTCCATTAATTTTTACACTCTTTGATCTTTCTATTCCATTTTGATGATATTTTTTAAAAATGAAGTATTTTATTCTATTAATTATTCTAACTTTACCCTAATTTAGATATTTTCACCGGATTCTATCATTTAATTATAAAAAATTAATTAAAGGATAATTTAATCAATCATATTTATTTTTTTCTAAATTTATTTTTAAAAAATTGAGGTGGTTCAATTTTTTTTTATTCTCGTGAAAAATAAAAAAGTCAAAATTAACAGAATAAAGGTAATATAATTTTTAAGTTGAAGAGTTAAAGATTTTTACACTTTTTGATATATTTATTCCACTTAAATGACATTTTTAGCAAATTAAAAATAATATTAATTATTTTATTCTAACTTGATCCTTATCTAGATATTTTCAATAAATTCTATCTTTTAATTACAAGAAATTAATTGAAGGGTAATTTAGTCAATTATATTTATTTTTTTCTATACTTTATGTGGTTTAATCGTTTTCTTAATTCTTGTAAAAAATTAAAAATGTGAAAATTAACATAATAGAGGTAATATAATTTTATAAGTTGAAATATTTAAGAAATCAATAAAATTTTGCATAAATATAAGAGACAAACCGAAGCATTTAGATATTGTTTGACAATAGTGTTTGAAGTAATATTTAGTGTTTTGGTTGGGTTAAGCACTATCATAATTAATTATGACGTTCGGTAATATAATATTTACTCTACGATTAAAGTTTGAAGTAATGTTTCATAAAATATTATCTATATTAACATTTAATGTTTTATAAATCTTGTATGACACCTATATTCATCACTTGTCTTTATCTTATTCTGTACTTTTATACTTTTTGTGTCGTTTTAGGTTAAACAACTAGTTAAACAGCTATTTTTACCTAACACCTTTTTTTTTTTCTAAACCGCTATATAAATGGATAATATCTAACATCTAATCGCTAGTAAAACAGCTAACAGCTACTAAAATAATTAAGATTGCCGAATGGGGCTTAGCCAAAAGTAGTTAGATACATGTGGTTGTTGTTAAGGAAAATAAGGTTCTACAGTTTAAGGTTTAACATCAATGTAATGTTGGGAGGATGTAGTTTTCAATGCTGTTTTGTGAAACATTTGGCCATTTATTTGTTTCCCTTATGGCAATTGTATACCTTAGTACCATATGTTTTGGTACTCAATCTATTCTTGGTATCTTTATTTGATGTCAATTTGAGTAATTATCACAAAATTTCATTCAATGAAAGTGGAAACATAAAAAAACAAAAAAAAATTATTATAAGAAAATGAATTTTTCTAGGTAAACGCATGAATCGAGACATGAACATTATAAGAAAAGTTTCTAATGGCATTTTCAATTTTTACCTTAATCTATTAAATCTCTTAAATTATAATATTATATTTATTTTAATTTTTTTAAACATTTCAATGTATAAAATTATATTTGTTAATAAGTATCAAGTGAATAAAAATATGAATTTCTTTATTCTAATAATTCACGTTAAAAATGCATAATGTCACACCGTTAAACATGTGTGCAATAACTGAAACATATATAGCAATACATTAAATAACTTCGGTTTTATAAATTAAAGAATTCAATAGATGTAATTTTATTAATCAAAAGATAATAGGGCAATTTATCAATCAGGTTTGAGTTTAGTTGATCTTTTTACTTATGTGAGGAGTGGAAAGTTTTGAGTTTGAGTTTTTTCGACAATAGTTGTTTTCACCAATTTTGTGAGCCAAGAGGAGAGCTACCCCATGTTCTGTAGCCTCCAGTCTTATTTCGGCGCTTAAAAATCATCCAATGAATTAAAAAAAAATAGTAGGACAATTTGAAAAAAAGTAGAGAATGTTACTAAATTTTTCTCATAAATTGCAGGTATCAATTTATAATTTTAAACATTGAATTGAAATATTTCTTTTGAACTTCATAATTTTCCTGATATCTCAATAAAAATCAAATTAATAAAATATAATTACAAGATCTGAACATAATAAGTTTTATAGTTCAAAGTCCAAGCTTCTCGAATGGAAGCTTCAATCGTGAGAAATATTGCCTATTGACTTAATTATACGTTTATACTGTACACACTACTTGTATATCATTCTAGCAAGCAGAGTGTAACACACGCGCTTGAAGAGCGTCGGTGATGGACCATATTAATGCTGCTTTGCTACATATTGCGACACGTGGAGGCTCCAGAAGCATGTTATTAAGAGTAATTTATCTTTCATTTTCCATTAAAATTGTTTCCTTTTAGGAAACAGCAAGGATTTACATTTGCGTGCATCAGCAGCCGTCGGATCTTAGACTTTCCACGCGGCTTTACTCCGTTTTCCTTTCCATCATATAAAACAATTTCCGACAACTTCATTTTTTTTTCAAACATATATACATTATTATTTATGAAAAATTATTAATAATTAATTAATGAAATATATATATATATATATTTGTTTGTTCTTTAATAGCAGCGCGTATCACCGGCTCCCAAAAAGCATTACTTTTGATTAAATTAATTTCTTAAAAAATATTTGACTAAATTAATATAATTCACTAATAAAATTTTTAAAAGTCTAGCGTCCCAACACGCAAAAAAAGAATAGAAAACATAAGAATTAAAAATGCATAATTCACAAATAAAACTTTAAAATTGGCAATATTAGGAAGTTAAAGTATTAATTAAATATGTTAATGATTGGATTAGAAGATATGATTAAAAGAAGATTATGATTGCAAATAAAGAGAGTATCTATAATACCTAGAAAAGTAAGATAAATTTGAAATTATAGGTCAAGTAATTCACATGATTAGAAAGTAAGTGGATATATATAATTGAAGTGCGTGGGAGTAAGGTGAAAATATGAAAGATATAATTTATTAGCTTCGGATAAGTTTGCCTGACTTACTGTTTACCTACACATTTTTACTATTAAATACTGATTCAGGAAGGAGTTTACATCATCCCAACCCAAAAATTTCTATTCCTTCTTGTCTACATCATATATATATATAGTGTCGTGTTATATCCATTAATAGTGTATATAATGGAAACCATAATATATTATTTAAATCATAATCAAGTGTAGTATAATATGTATTTTCGATAATACGAGGAGTGATACATCTTAAGTTTGAGTCATCTCAATCATTTTATTATATAACTTATCGTGTTATTTTAGCCATTTAATTCTCTTAATAAATAAAAAATTAAGAATTATTTTATAGAGGGAGGAGGCTAGGGTTGCCCCTCCCCTCGCCAAAAAAAATTACATTCCGAATTTTAAAAAATTTTCAATTTCATCCCTTGAACTGTTTTTTTTTCTTTCTTTCTTTTTTTTTTTTTTTTTTTTTATAGAGGAGAGAGATAGGTTGCCCTCCCCTCGCCAAAAAAAATTACATTCCGAATTTTAAAAAATTTCAATTCTCCCATTGAACTGTTTTTTTTCTTTTTTCTTTTTTTTTTTTTTTTTTTGAATTTTGTATTTCTAACTTTTTGAAAGCACTTTCTTGTTTGCTCTTTTTTCTAATTTCTTCTGGATCCACTACTATTTGTTAGTTAGTAAGGCATTTGACGATCTTGAATTATCAATTTTTATAGGTTAAAAGTGTATGAACACTACAAAATACATGTGCGTTTTTAACAATAGAATTTACATTTTTTTAAAAATAAAATTTAGTCTAATTTTTATCAATAAAATTTTAATTTTTTTTTTTTTTTTTTTTTGAATTTTGTCTCTTCTAACTTTTGAAAAGCATTTCTGTGCTCTTTGTTCTAATTTCTGGCTCCACTACTATATGTTAGGTTAGAGTAGGCAATTTGAGATTTTGAATTATTAATTTTATAGGTAAAGTTGTATGGAACTAAAAATAATGTGGTTTTTAACAATAGAATTTTACATTTTTTAAAAAATAAAATTTGTTAATTTTTTATTCAATAAAAATTTAATAATTTTTAAAAATTAGTAATCATACGGAATGTGCAATTTCTCCTTGATTAACAATTATTTGTTATGTGATTCTAAATATTTCATAATACTATCAAGATACTGTTAATATTTGTAATAATACCCTTACACTTTAATTAAAATACTAATCTGTTAATTAATATTTCCAATAGCAAGCAGTTAGATAATATTAA